TGCCAGCCGTGGGAGAACATAGCGGCATACAGCTAGGGCAACGAAGTCTTGGCATGGACGTATCGATAGCTATGCGTTGCCTGCCGTCGCACCTCAGGGTATGCGAACCTTGGGGGTTGCTCGTACCTACTCCAGGTTTGGTGTTGGGAACGATGGCCCATTGGGAGGCCCCTTAATACTGGTTTATCGGTAAGTACTTCGGTTCATTATATTCTTCGATATGATTACATATGATGAGTTTATTAATAGCTAATTCATTATCATGTTCAATGCAGCAATGAAACAGGTAGAATACACTCTCTACAGCTCTGATTATCTGGACGGAATCAAAGTTAGTTAAAGGGAATGCGAGGCGCAAGTACAGGGAGTACAAGGACGATCTCGACGTCCTGACACAGCACCAGGTTACGCTTTGTTTACTATCATACCTGTGTCTTGTTCGATGTATACTATATCATAGCTTAACTCAATTACGAAATGTTCAGGTGCATTGGTGTCCTTGGGATGCTCCGGAGCTCCAGTACTATCTCAGTCCTGTCACTAGGGACGAGTCAGAGGAGTATCGCTGCAACGTCCCTCTTATTTTCTTCCACATGGTCGAGATTCACTTGCCCGTTAGGGTCTGCACACAGTTTGGAAGAATGACAGGCTGCCCACCACCGCTTTACTCCACCAACCAAGGATTGCACGGGTGCGTTATCGATTAATAACAAAGCTATAATTCAGAGGTGTGTGTGGTACAACTAACATCGTTTTGTTGCAGGTATGACCATAGGAAGAGGTATAAAACCAAGGATTGGCGCATGACACACAACGTGCACATCCACTTGTGGGAGACTAGGGAACGGCAGCCGGTCCATGTGGGTCCTCCACACGACCAGCACACATGTGGCTTCACAGGTCTACGAGGACACATATCAAGCCCCCGTACACTGAGAAGGCGATTGACAAGGACTCGGAGGAAGATGTCATAGAAGATGTGTACGATGTTACCACTAGGGAGGACACACAGCTACAGAGAGCCTCATTTCAAAGATACGTGGTAGGATACTTGAATGGTACAATTTGGTATCCTTTCGGTATTAAGTATGTGTACTAAAATTGTCCAACCACGTTTCTGTACCCAGACGACACAATTGTTAAGGATGTCCAACGAAGCAGCGTTCCGGCTTCACGAGTCTAGAGGGCAGGGGCCAGGCGTTCTCGTGGCTTTTGTGGAGGTAAACATAAACTTGTCCATTTCGAAAATGTTTCTTTAGTGTATATGCGTTTGGGAAATACACTAACTTTAATGTCTATTTATGCAGAAGGTGAAGAAGAGATGCAGGAAGCTAGCTCAGAAGCTGAGCTGCATGGACACTCCTTATGAGGAACCGTCACTCTAGGCGTGGTCGGGTGGCACGTCTTCAGCCTCTTTGAGGACACCAGCCGGCTCTTCTCAGCCGATGACAGGTGTCACTTCCGCGGTGCGTACACCACCACATCATAGCGCTAGGAAGGACCCTGCAACCAAGGACGACGAGGACGACGATGACGACGATGACGACCCCCCGGGCTTCCGCAGACAGCACTACCAGTGGGACGATTGGCCGCAGGACGAGATCGTTATGTCTCTGCTAGGTGGTGCCCCGCTTGGTACCCAAGGAGCCTCACAGGTACTAACAAAGGTAGTTTCTTTAAATACGTATGCTCCATGAACTAACGATCATAAAGAATTATAAGTAATCATGTGTATCATATACTTGCAGGGTATGAGCCGTACGCACCGTCGACGCGACCATACCGATGTTGGCTACACTCCCAATGTGTTGCCAACAAATCCGAAGAGACAGAGGCGTCCGAGGGATCCTTACACTCCTGGGTCTTAGTTTGTTAGGTCAAACAAATATTGGCGTCCGAAACTTGCAGGGTTATTTGGTTATGTTATGTCGAACTTATATCAAACCAATGAAAATGTTATGTGACAGCTTGTCAACTTGCGCACGGACTTCATTTATTTGCTTCATATTCGTTTCAATGGGTCACGGCAGCACTGCCGGCGAGATTAAGTAGCAACTAGTTCAGGAACCGGTAGTCCCGGCGTATCTCGACGCCGGTGGCCGGCGTCTTGCACAAGAGATCGAGGAAGCCGGGGTCCATGGTCGCGTCGCCGCCGATCCTATAATATGGTGTCAAAAAGCCAAAGAAATAAGTTTCCTTAAAAAAATATTCGTTTCAATCCGATCCTATTTTTCGTAATCGATTAGTTAACATGGTGGTTAACTGTATTACGAAAGACCGAAAAAAAAATCATTGGCTTATCAAATTCTCTATTCGGCCGTGAAAAAATTCAACCAAAGACAGAAACAGATCCACTATTGATTTTACGTCAAGCAATACTTAGAATAACTCCCACTATCGGCGCGACGTGTTCTGATTAAACCGTCCAGGTACCGCCGGGCGGGCGTCGGGTGCGGCGGCCAAACGGGCTTGCTGCGGGACTGGCCGCGGGGTTTTATTCAGCTCTGCCGCGCCACGGATCAGGGCGCGGCACTGCCGCGCCAAGGTCGGTGGTGCGGCAGGCCCTGCCACGTCAACGGTCAGCGAATCCGGTTGCCGCCACGTCAGCCCACTGCCGCGCCACCATGCATGGCGCGGCACAGGCATTTGGCCTCGCCAGGGAAATATGCGCGGCCAAAAGTATTAGTTTTTAAAAAAACAGACAGTGTTAGATTTAAAATTAGTTTTCAAAAAGTGTTAAAATTAAAAAAAAAATCACTGTATCCTATACCACCCTTTTAATCCCGGTCCTCTCTTCCTACCCCGAAAACAGAAAGAACTGCGAAACTATTCCGTAAGAACAAGGCGGGCTTGTTCGGTTAGTCTTCAATTTGAGAAAAGGATCTGAGGTGATTAAGGAAGATTTTATAATCATAAGACAAAATCCCTCCCAATCCTGTTAGATCCCCTCCAATCTCCTTCAGATAGAGGCGCTAACCGAACATGCCCTGAATGGGGATGGATATATAAATGTAATATGAGAATTTTGTTCAAATATGAAGAATGAGAGAGGGCAAAGCTAAGTAAAATTTCCAATTTCTAACACTGGTGTCCCTTAAGATTGCTAGCCCGTGCAGAAGCATGGATTAAATAGACAGTCTTATTGGACCTATTTAGGACGAGAGAATCTTTATCATTACTAAAGAATTTTTTCATAGTTTATTATGTTGATCCATATAAAATCGGCAATGCTAGCTCCCGGACGTCCGGCCTTAGGCTCGCGTTCGGACGCAGCTCCCGTTCGACGCACCTGCTGTGCCCCCGTCCCGTCCCAGCGCGTCCGCCGCACCCATGTAATACGAGAGCCCACCCACCACGCCCGCGTCACCATACCGTGATGGCTCTCGTGCGATGGGGACGGCGTAGGAAAGTAGGCCGTTGATATGGGGCAACACGATGAGGACCCACTCTAGGGCCGTGTACGCCACGGACGCCTGCGCGTCCTCCGGTGAAGTATTGCCTCCAGCTTACGGCCGCCGCCTCCATGGACCTCGTGCTAGCTCTCTCTTCCTCGCTCGACCAACCTACACCGAGATCTACTTCTGCAACACTCAAATGAAACAAATGCAACATACGACTAAAGCAGATGAAACATTTGGAGCATACACTTGCAACATAGCCATTGTAACATATGCAACATCCAGATAAAACACTTGCAACATACATTTGATACAGATGAAACATTTTGAACAAACTCTTGCAACATAAGTCTGAAATAGATAAAACAGTTTGAACAAACCCTTGCAACATACCTCTGAAATACATGCAACATGTGCAACATCCCGATCAGCTTAACATCTATATGAAACAATTGCAACGTACCTCTGAAACATCTGAAACACTTGAAACATACATATACAACATAGGAGAGGTAAAGATCGGGCCGGGTCGATTCCGATCATCGGGGTGGGATCTGGTGGCGCGCAAGCATGCACCACCAACACTAGCACCAGTGGTGGCACGCAAGCACAACCACCACTAGCACCTCCCTTGGCTCGGCCGGGCAGGCGGCGCGCGCTACGAGAGGGAGTAGATGGCGCGTAGCCTGAGCGAGGAGCGAGCGGTGTGGGTGGGGCGCGCGATGGGCGGGAGCGAGGAGGAAGGAGCAAGCGGCTTAGGTGGGGGCACGACAGGCGGGAGCGAGGAGCAAGCGAGCAAGCGGCGCGGGGTGAGGCGCGCAGTGGGAGAAAGCAGCGAGGCGGACTGAGGCGCTTCTGTCCGGATGGGGCGGACGCCCGTGGCCAAGCATTATTGATATAGATATACCTGTAAAATTCTTATATGTGCACCAAAAAAAACATGAATCTCCATGCACTATTGTGAGATATGTCCACGTAGCAGTCTTGGTCTTGTATAGGACCACCCTAAATATTTTTTTTTAGCATTGGACGACCCTAAACATTGGGTATCTTCTGCGGGCCTTCTTAGTTTGGCATGTTGCTGGCCACTGCGCACATGCGACCTAAGCCATCTAAATCATTATCCATCCTTCCGATCAGATGCACATACCATGCATTCCAAAGCTTCCGTAACTCAACTTGTTTCTTACTGATGTTGACCTGTGATTTCTTCATCATGTCCGGAGTAATCAAACCACGAAACTGCATTCTGTGGTAGAGCCAGGAATTTTCAGAGGAATTTCATTTGCTAGAAATCGTTACCAGTAGGAATTAATCCCTTCACAGAACACACCATACAAAAAATGACTAGTAGTTACCCAACGAATTATTACGAATGTAACATCGAATTAATAAAAACACATCATCAGTGTTGCACATGTTCTGAAAGAGAAAATGATTTACAAGACAAGACACGGCACACAGACTACACAACCCAAATGACACAAACGAATGCGAGAACCAAGTACACGACGAGCGTGGGATTATTGCGACTGATCACATGATGATCGCAGAGCACAGCTGATCGCAGCAGGTAGCAGACTGCAAGAAAGGAACCATGGATCACATGATGGAGCACTGGCTGTCCTGCTCTGGGCACCGGCAGGGCCACGGCGGCGGCGGCCAGTAGTTCGGCGGGCACGGTGGACACGGCGGGCATGGTGGGCAATGATGCTTGCATTCATCCTTGTCGTGCGAGCACTCGCACTTGCAGGGCGGCGGCGGTTTTACCGGTGGCGGTGGCGGTTTTTTCGGTGGCAGCTTGCAGCAGTGGCACGGAGGCTGAGTTGGTGGGCATGGCCAGCTCTGGCATGGAAACGGGTACCGTACAGGGTATGGATACGGCACCACATTGCATTCCGGTTTGGGCGGAGGCGGAGGTGGAGGTGGGGGTGGTGGCGGCCACTTTTCGACGATGGCTATCTCCTTAATCATCTTGTCGGCCTTGCATAATATCGTTTTCTTGAGTTTTTCGCCATCGAACTTCCCGCGTACGATCACCTTGTTGAGCTTATCCTCGAACTCAATCTTCTCGATGCAAAACTCCTCTGCAGCGTCACAAAATTGTATAATTGATGAGTTTATTGATGCATGCAGGTACACTCGTACAGACCAGAGTATATGTAATCGAGCCATATAATCCAATTGTTGTACTCTTAAGCATGGTTACTTAACCGGTTGTTCTGTAAAAATGTTGCCCTGCATATGCATGCCTACATGGTGTTTGTCAGAACTTTTCAGATTTCAGACTGGACCATGTGTAGTTTCACTGGATTTTACAAACCTTCATCCGGATTAATTTCGTGTTACCAGTTAAGTTAATTTTCCACTGCGGAATTTAACTGTTTCTTTTTTGCTTTAACACGAAATGATTGTCTATACTCGTACACATATGGACAATCATTGTTCTGTAAGAAATTGCTCGTAATAAGATATATAATGACTCTCCATACTTTTACTCCGCTTCTAAAATAAAAAGAAGGTTGGACCTTTCCCAACTTTTTGCATAGTAAATGTACCTTTGAGGCCTTCCAGGATTTTGGTGATCTTGGCTTCTGCAGGCGCAGCAGAGGTCCACCATGGTGATGACAAGTATTGCCGTCTGCAAATTTAAAGAACATGTATCGGGAAACAATTTGAGACGGCGTCAGAAAATGTGCAAATTTGGATCCCTTCATCAATTATGCATGCCTACTTCAGTGGCGGCGGTGGCGGCTTGCAGCACGGAAACGGATACGGTACAGAGTACGTATATGGCACCACCTTGCATTCCGGTGGAGGAGGAGGCGGTGGCCACTTTTCGACGATGGCTATCTCCTTAACGATCTTGCCGGCCTTGCATAATATCGTCGTCTTGAGCTTCTCTCCATCGAACTTCCCCCGTACAATCACCTTGTTGACCTTGTCCTCGAACTCAATCTTCTCAATGCAGAACTCCCTGTGGCATCACAAAATTATATAATTGATGAGTTTATTGATGCACATATAGTCGTACAGACCAGAATATATATAATCCAGCCGTATAATCCAATTGCGGCACTCTTAATCATGGTTACTTAACCGGTTGTTCCGTAAAAATGCTGCCCTGCATATGCATGCCTACATGGTATTTTTAGATCAAAAGTATTCCACCCGGCTTTATTGAAAGCTTATCGAAAATCCTTGATCATGCCTACATGGTATTTGTCAGAACTTTTCAGATTTCAGACTGGACCATGTGGAGTTTCACAGGATTTTACAAACCTTCGTCAGGATTAATTTCGTGTTGCCAGTTAAGTTAATTTTCCACTGTGGAATTTAACTGTTTCTTTTTGCTTTATGGAAAATTAATCATTCTTCTGTAAGAAATTGCTCTTAATAAGATATATAATGACTCTCCATACTTTTACTCTGCTTCCAAAATTAAAAGAAGGTTGGACCTTTCCCAACTTTTTGCATAGTATAAATGTACCTTTGAGGCATTCCAGGATTTTGGTGATCTTGGCTCTGCAGCGGCAGCACTGCAGGTTCACCATGGTGATGACCAGTATTGTCATCTGTAAATTTAAAGAACATGTATTGGGAAACAATTTTCAAGACAGCGTCAGAAAATGTGCAAATATGGATCCCTTTGTCAAATATGCATGGCTACTTCAGTACTCCCAAAGAAATTATCATTTTTTTTTGTGATTATGTTAGTTCAAGTTGTTGAACTGGGAACTAATTGATTATGATTTATTTTCCTTTGAATCCCAACAGTATGCCAAGGGCCACTGTGAACTTTGCTATTAAACCGAGAAAAAATCGTATCCCCCGGATTTGACAGAAGATGGTTACAAACTTCGCTAAAACGCTTATGAAACTAGAAAACTAAAGCCAATAATGTTGGTAAGTGCAAGGATTAGTACACAAGTATGGAGACAATAAAGCAAAAGAGAAGGACGGAGCTCACCTTCTAACCCTGAATAATGTTGTCAATGGACAAGAGAAGAGATAGAGCAGTTGTAGGCGAGGTGTTGGAGGAAGAATATAAAGGAGCAAATATGAGCCTTTTGGGTATTTTTTATGCCTGGATACACCGAAGCCTGCCAAAAAGCAATAATGCTGGCATTGTGTTAGGTCTGTCGGATCACATCTTGACGGCGCTGGTACTAGGGAATGGGTTGTGAAATCTACATATGGGGAAAAGGACACCTGTAAAAGACACTTTGGTCCTTCTCAGGGACTTGTCCCACTAGTCACCCCTCGTTTTCTTGCTTTTTCTTTTACATGCATGATTTTAAATGTCATTGTTTGCTGGTTTTCAACGTGAATACGTGAAAGATCTCTTATTCTCTTTCCAGATTTTGTAGAACGGTATAATTGTATAACTTCTCAGTTTAAATTTGCTCCCTCGTTCCTGTAAATACCTAAAACTAACCAATTAAGACAACCGGGTATAGCTACATATGCACCCAAACTGTTTTGTATTATGAGAGTAGAGGATGTTCCAATCCAATCACACTCCATGTGTTCTGTAGAGGCCCACTACTTCAGAAATCGTTCCGCAGCCTCTGTGGCCTTCAAACCAATCTCCTCACTAGGGTCTGTTTAGTTCGCGGTTAGGAATCAGTATTTAATACTGTAGCACTTTCGTTTGTATTTGACAATTATTGTCCAATCATGGCCTAACTAGGCTCAAAAGATTCGTCTCGTAATTTACAATCAAACTGTGTAATTAGTTATTTTTTTTATCTACATTTAATACTCCATGCATGTGTCCAAAGATTTGATGTGATGGAGAGAGAGTGAAAAAACTTAGAATCTAAACGAGGCCTAGATAGACAAACCCTCAGCCTTGTACTGCAAGAGCACTCTCCAATTGAAAGAAATCTCTTTTTAATCCTACCAGATACACTAGGATACATTTGTCTTTCGAAAAAAATAAAGGGGACACGTTGATGTGTTCAAGTAGATATTAATCATTATCTTTTACTACTAGTGCATCAACCCTATATGCTCCTAGACAAGTTACAATCTTAAGAGACATAATAACATATTAGAGCTTAATGGATAAATTTAGTGCATACAACTAATACTATCTCGATGCTCTCTTCATTCATTTTCAAGCATAATACCCATAATACATTGTGATCGCCGGGACGCACAGCTCGGCTCTCTCTGCGACGTTGTAGTTCCAGGGCGCCGTTGTTGTCCTGACCAAAGTTGAATCGAGAATCCCCAAACCAAGTACATACCCCTCTCATCCCTCAATTTTCTTAGATTTCCATTTATTTGACATGCATGTTTGCCCAGACGTAGCGAGGCAGAGCTTGGAGATTATGAAAAGAAGCACATTCATGTTGGCTGGACACACGCTTGAACCACGGAACAATTGGCTTGCGAATCTCCACGAACCATCCGCATCCAGTGTCATCAAGTCAAAAACGTGAGTGAATACTGATTGACGATGTTACTTCTACTTCGTCAGTACTTTGTACCTTTGCTACATATTAGCTGTAAAAGTGAGTCGGCTGATTGTTGAACCATCATCATATATACTTGCAGCTCAGAATCCATACTCTATTAGTAGTCCATTTGAATAAAGCAACTTTAATTGTTTGCTGTTTGTAAGACCATATATCAATGTCGTTGTCATTCATGTCTCCTATGCCCAGGAATTGGATTTTTATCCCATACTGTATTTATTTGGAAAGCATGTAATGTCCTTTGTACTGGTTGTTTGTAAATAACTTTTAACTTATAATTTGCTGGATATTGTGCAGAAATTCAGAGAATATTTGTAGTCAAAGGACTTTGTTGGTATCCACACCCCAAAACTGAATGCTGGTGCAAGAAGGCGGCGCAGCTGTATTCAATCTACAATACAATGGCCAGCCTGCCGTTTTGGCACAATCTCTTCAGTTACACAAACAAATGGCTATCTGTGGTGGCCTTGAAACAACCCAGGATCCCTGCGAGTCAATCAATTACTATTTTGAGGTGAGGTTATAAGAAGAATATATTTTTTTGAAAGGTCACCGGGGGATGAACTATCCACTAGTAGAGAACAGAATTTCTGTTCAAGGCTTTAGTCACGGCCATTTTTGAGCCCAGGACTAAAGAAAGGATTAGTTCCGGTTGGAGCCACCAACCGGGACTAAAGTCACCCACCCAATAGCTAGAGCCGAAGCTTTTCTACGAGGGGAGCAGGAGGGGACCTTTAGTCCCAGTTGGTGGCTCAAATAGAGACTAAAGGTCATCCTCCGGTCCCGGTTGGAGCCACCAGCCATGACTAAACCTTTAATCCTAGTTGGTGGCTTCAACCGGAACTAGAAATCCACCTGTACTCCGGGTTTACACCATAAACCGGGACTACATTTTCCGGGCTATATACTTTCACCTTCTTCCTCACCCACCCGAGCCATTTCAAGCTCTCTGCCTGCTCTATGTTCTTGCTCGTGGAAGGAGTTCATGCTTGCGGGATTGGTGAAAACTTCATTCCTCCATCCATTCTTTGGTTCTAAACGTTACCAACTTCATCATCTCGTGTTTCATCACTAGCGGCTCATTTCGTGGTCTAGAAATAGAGAAATTTGTGGTTTTTTAGATTGGGAATGATGGTAGATTTTCTTTTGATTTATATACCATTTGAGCTCAAAATCACTTGATAGTATGAATATGAAGATGAAGAAAGCTTATAGTAGTTCATCAAAACTAGTATTGCACCTTTTATTGCCTCATTTCATGGTCTAGAAATAGAGAAATTTTTGGTTTTCTAGATTGGGAATAATGGTGGATATTTTTTATTTATGTCATTTGAGCTCAAATCATTTGATAGTTTGCATATGTAGATGAAGGAATCTTATAGTAGCTCATCAAAACTAGTATGCACCTTTCGTTGCCTCATTTCATGGTTTAGAAATAGAGAAATATAATGTTTTTTAGTATATAGCTCATTTAGTTTCATGGTTCACAAAATGAGAAATTTATAGTAGTTGATGAAATAAGTATAGAGAGTCGTATATGGCGACTGCTTCCGGGTCCTCGGCCTCTCATAGGGTCCCTAAGCGACTGAGGCTGGACCTCCCTCTCATTGCGTATGGCAAGTGTGGGCGGAAGACTGTGAGGGAGTACAGGGTGAAGAAGGGGTGTCCAGATCATGAAGTGAGTTATTTTTTATCATGTTTTGTTATGGTTTGTAGCCATTTTTCGTGATGATTTTGATTAAAGTTCTTGATTTGTTGTTGTAATTTCAGTGGGATGGCACTGGATCATGTGACGGTTGGTACTGGAAGGAAGAGTATGTTGTGCACGTCAAGAATCTCTTGCAAAGGAGATCGAGGCGGCTGATGAGAGTGCACCTGTGTATGATGAGGTAGTGAACCAGCAGAAGAATGATCTGTCTGTTTTAGTTGGAATTGGTCGCGAAATCCTTATTTTGCTGAAGTGCATTGTAGGTTTAGTTTGTTTAGTGCTAGTTGGGATTGTCTACATTGTATCAAGGCTTTAATAAATTAATATTCGAGAGTACGTGAAATAGCTGTGTGGTATAGGATATTAATTAATCATGTTGATTGATGGATATTTTGGATCTTTTAATTAACTACTAATCATGCATGTTATATAATATGGGTTATTACAGGTTTTTGATGTGGTATACGTCATGTAATGCAGATGAACCTGCAATGGATGTACAACGTGGACCGTCGCTCCCCAGAGTTTATTAGGGGCGTGCATGAATTCATAAATGTGGCCAAGCCAAACACGCGGAATGGTTTCATGTGCTGCCCATGTGTTCTATGTAAGAATGAGAAGGATTATTCTTGCTCAAGGGTCCTTCACAAACACCTGTTTACATCAGGTTTTATGTCAAACTATATTTGTTGGACTAAGCACGGAGAAAGAGGTGTTATAATGGAAGAAGATGAAGAAGAAGAAGGGGATGATGACAACATTATTATTCGTGGGTTTGCTGAATACGGTGCCTTTGATGATACTGCAATGGGGGAAGCTGAAGAAGAGGTAGCAGCTGAAGAAGAGGTAGCGGCAGAAGATGAGCCCGCTGATGATCTTGGTCAGGCCATCCGTGATGCACAGAAAGAATGTGAAAGTAAAAAGGAGAAGATGAAGTTCGAGCACATGCTAGAGGATCACAAGAAATTGCTATACCCAAATTGCGAAGAGGGGCAAAAAAAGTTGGGCACCACACTTAAATTGCTGCAATGGAAGGCAAAGAATGGTGTATCCGATAAGGGATTTGGAGAGTTACTGACTATCGCAAAGAAGATGCTTTCGAAGGCAAACGAATTGCCTACCACTACATACGTAGCAAAACAGGTCATTTGCCCTCTGGGATTAGAAATCTATAAGATACATACATATCCTAATGACTGCATCCTCAACCGCGATGAGTATGAGAATTTGGATGCATGCCCGGTATGCCGTGCATCACGGTATAAGATCAAGCAAGATGCGAGATGACCCTGGTGATATTGAGGGCGAAGGTGAACGTCCTAGGAAGAGAATCCCTGCCAAGGTGATGTGGTATACTCCTATAATACCACGCTTGAAACGT